GTTGCATAAGTTAAAGTATTTTTAAAAATCAAAACACCACAACAATTTTTGTCTCGTAGTCCAGAATCACGCTTCGTAACAGAAAGAGCACAGCTGAGCTGTAGCACCATTGATGGTCCCTTCCAACTGAGCTGTTCCATTCTAATTGCTCAGTCATTTTCACATTTGGAGTCAGGCCAAGGCAAAGCTTTCAGAAGCAGCTTTCTGAACAACTGTAGGTATGGAAAAGTTCACTTATTTACACATTTTTCAATTCTGGAGTCTACGTTTACATCTCAGCAAAAAAACCTGAAAGCCAGACATCAGCCCAACAGTGGGCCTTCGGGTTCCTTCCACCTCTCCATGCCTGGTGACGCCTGCCAGCGGAGCAGACGGCCGTGCAGCACGGTACCTTTGGAACACTGTGCTCTCTGTGAAGCTGGGCGGCCCGTTCACCATGAAGAGCCCTTCGGAGCCCCGCACTGAAAGAGGAAACAAACACGCACCCACTGCAAATTCTCAGAACCGTCCAAAGCCAAACTTTAACCTCATTTCGCTGAAATCTCTCCCCTTTTTCGCGTTTTAGAGTTAACAAAGCGACTAAAGTTCATAAGGAACGTTCTGGCCTCACGCACGCTGACCGCCAGACTGAAGCAGGGGCAGACGTGACACGGAGCGCCGTCACCGCAGCCCGTCCGCGCGTTACCGCCGCGCAGCGCGGCCGAGCTCCGCCCGGGCGTTCCGCGGACAGCGGCGACCGCTTCGGCGTCCGGAGCACGGCGGAACGCTGCCGCCTGCCCTCGGCCGCCGCCGAGAGAACGACGTGAGCCCAGGCCCGTGGCCGAACGCCCGCCCGGGTCCCGCCGAGCTCCAGACCCCGTCCGCCACAGCCGCCTCCGCAGCGGGACGGGAGGACAGGGACGGAGCGGCGGCATCGCCGGCGGGACTCGACCTCGGCAGGCGGGAGGGCAGAGCCCGGCGCCGTCCTCGGAGCCCCCCCGCCCGGCGCGGCGCCCACCTGCCAGCAGCGGCGCGGGCGGCGCCATCTTGGCGGTGCTTCTACTTCCGGGTGAGTGGCGGCGCGGCCGCCCCTTGCAGCTCCACGTCGCGCGGCGCGAGAGGTACCGCCGGTCACGTGACGCGGAGAGGCCGCTTCCGCCTGCCGCCCCGGAAGCGCTGCCGGCGGGCGGCACGGGTTGGCGGCGGGCGGCGCCCGGCGTGACGGCTTCCGGCGGGCGGCGCCGCGCGGTGCTGACGCGGCGCAGAGAGCGGAGCGGAGCGGTCCCGGCCCGGCCCGGCGCGGCCGCACCATGGTGGCCAAGCAGCGCATCCGCATGGCCAACGAGAAGCACAGCAAGAACATCACGCAGCGCGGGAACGTCGCCAAGACCTCGGTGCGTGGGGCCGGGGCCGGGGCCGGGGGCGGCGCGGGTAGGCGCGGGGCGGCGCGTGACGCGATGCTGTGCCCGCAGAGGACGGCCCCGGAGGAGAAGGCGTCGGTCGGGCCCTGGCTGCTGGCGCTGTTCATCTTCGTGGTCTGCGGATCAGGTGAGCCCCGCGCCCCGCGCCCCGCCCCGCCCCGCGGCCCCGCTGAGCGCCCCCTCTCTTGCAGCCATCTTCCAGATCATCCAGAGCATCCGCATGGGCATGTGAGCCCCCGCCCCGCCGCGCATTCCAGGCCCTTCGCCGCCATTCCGAGCGTCCCAGTCCGTGCCACAGTGCCTTGAGCAGCACCACATGTACACAGCAATAAAGTTATGTTGTTGAGCCCCAATCGTGGACCTGCTTATTCAGCAACGTATCTCCGTGCTCACGTAACATGTCAGACTGTGCAGTGCGGGTTCCCGGGGACTGACGCCCACCGTGAGCACCGCTCCCACATCCGCACGAGCCGCCGGGCCGCCAGAAACGGCTCTGTTTGAAACCGCAGCCGGGATTTCAGTGGCAGTCGGAGCACCGACACAGAGCGCGCTGCTGGCGAGCGGCCGGCGCCGTGCAGCTCAGCGCGGTGTGCGGGGCAGAGCTGCAGCGTGTGGCACCGCGTTCGCCCTCGGGCTCGTACTGCATTAGATAACCTCACCCCGTGCTTCCCGTCGTACCCCATACGAATGCCTGTTTGTGTAGAGCTGGGGTGCGTTCCCTGCCCGCGAGCTGGCATGGCCGGGCAGCAGCCCTTCTCAACATTGCCCATTGTGGGGCTGCCACAAACTGTTCGTCCCCGAGGACACACGCTCCCAGGCTGCTCCTGGAATTGGGCTGCAGCGGCGCTGCATGCACGTCTTGGAAACCTCCCACCGAGTTGTGGGCTTTGGTCCTAAAATGCTGTGTGGGGATAGGGATGCCTTGTGCAGGTACCGGGGACCCTGCCCCTCCGACCCGCAGTTTTGCTTCGGTGTGCAGTATCAGCACAGTATAGTATGTCTCGCAATATATATTCTAATTGTATTTAAGGTAAATCCTGCTTTCACCTTGATGTGTCATCCAGCAATGGATCCAGTGCTAAGCTGCCTCCCTCAGGATGATTGCAGTTCCTTATTAGTAGTGCTGAAAAGCAGAAACCAAACCCTCCTTACCTGTATAGAAGAATGTAACTTAAATCACAATGGAAAGTGCTGCTGTTGATCATTCCTTATTGCTGATGGCCTCAGCTCCATGAGGCTCTCCCTACTGTCTGTTGTGGTAAACAAAGCGGTCTGAAATAGGTCTGCTGTTGCATGCAGTTGCTAAAGCAAGATTTCTTTTTTTCAGGTTTCTTAGAAGACATTTAAAATCTGGTTACATTAGTAGTAATAGATACAACTTTCTATAGGGTTGAATTTCATGTCCTGTAGCTGTGAAGGAGCAGACTTTTTGCTGGTTGTTGTATTTCCATCTGGAATCATTGGAAGTGGTGTAAAGTGGTGTGGCCCAGGCCATGCTCCAGAACCAGGCTGTGCAACGCAACGACATTCCTTATTCTTGGAAGCTCATATTTTGTAATCAATGGGGGAGGGGAAGTCTGTATAACCTCTGATTTTAAATAAAGTTCTTCTCAAATGTGAGTTAATTCTGAGGTTGGCAAAGTGTTGTCTTCTGTGTGTTACGTGGGCCACTTCACCCCGAGTGTTGTGGGGGGACCCTGGGTGTTGGTGAAGGGATCTCTGGGGGCTGCCTTCAGTGCTGGGGGTGCCCATTTCTGCCCAGCATTGCTTGGACGCTGCAGTTGGGTCAGAACAGTGGGGTGTCAGAATGGGCCGTGCTGACCTCTGACCTCCATGGGCCCAGTTCTGCTGAAGGCCATCCTTGTAGAAGACTCACTTGGGTACAAATACAGAATACATCAACAGTTCTGCAGCTTTGCTCGTGCAGGTCAGCATGCTCTCATACCCGCAGTATTGCTGGGTTTGGAAAAACAGGACCATGTTAAGTCATGCATAAAAGACATGCAGTTGCTGCTTTGTTGCAATTGCAGCACAAGCAGCAATCCTTGTCCGAGAGAAACAGTGCCAACGGTGCCTCTGGCAGTAATGGCAGTTCGGTATTTTGCCCCTTGAGAAGGGCTGTTGGATTTAAATCGAAGTGTGCTGGGGGCGCTCTGTGCTAAAAGTGACAGCACCGAGAATAGGGCTGGTCTACGGTAAGGGTGGGAAAGCTCTGTAGCCAACGGTTCCTTCAGCGATCAGCTGTGAGGTCGCTTTGCAGTGATGTGGTATTAAATACCGGGCAAATGCAGCTGAAGAGAGCAGGAGGAGCTGCGCTGCGAGGACAGCTCCGTGACGCCCTGCAGCCGACAGCCCGAGCAATGCCTGCTGCACAGCTGCATCCCGGCGGCTGCTGCAGCGCACGGGGCGGCCTCTGATGGGGCCCGAGGTTGGAGCCTCTTCATCTTTAGGAACATTCGGTGCTGGCAGCTTCTGAACTGAGTACAGAAGCCGATACTGTTACTGCGCGCAGCGACGCAGCGAACGACCTCGCAACAAATTTGTATTGCAGTGAGAAAGCGACGCGATTCCAGCGGCACTAAAATCTCGAGCGGGGGACGACGTACGTGGGAACACCCGGCAGCGCGGGACAACCATGTGAGCGGCGCAGCGTTCGCTCCCGTCTGCAGCTCCGTGCGAGGCCGCGGTCAGCGGGGCGCAAATCGAAGGCTGGAATCCCCGGGCCCGGAAGCGATCGCGCGGCCTCGCGCCGGCCTGCAGCGCGGTGCGGTGAGCGGCGCCGCCTCCGTCCCACGTGCACGGCGCGCGCTCAGAGCCGGGCGGCAGCGCCGGCCGCGTGCTGCTGGGCGGGAGCTGTGCGGCTGCGGCGATACGGGCGATGTGGCACGGGCTGAAACGCGCTCCGTCGCCGACGCAGAAAGTAATGCGTAACGGCGACTCCGACGCGAGAGGCAGCTGTTGGCACGCGGCGGCTGTAGGACGCTGCCTCACGCGCGGGAATCGCCGCGCAGGAGGGGAACGCCGCCGCCGCCTTCCGCGGGGATCCCGACCGAGCGGCACGGCGCCCGTCACCGGGGCGGCCCACGCCAGCGGCCGCGACCTCCTCGCCGCAGGGTGGCGCCGTAGTGCCGCGCCTGGCGGAGGCCCCGCCCCGAGCTCGCGGCTCCGCTCCGCCGTGCGGCGACGCCCCGCGGTCGGCGGAACCGACGGCCGACGGCACGGCACGGCGCGGCGCCGGCCCGAGGTTCCTCCTGCTGTGCGAAACGGCCGCCCGCCGAGCCCGCGCTGCCCGCTCCTCAGGCCCCGCCCGCTCCCGCAGCGCCCCGTCTTACCGAGAGCGGAGCCGCCGGCATCCCGGCGCTGACCCCGCGGACGGCCGCCGAGCCCGGCGCTAAGCGAGGCGGTTCCCAGAGGGCGGCTGCAGCCGCACCGCTCGGTTGTGTCTCGTCTCCGTTCCGAACGTTTGATTCAGGAACTCCGCTAAAATGCGACTCGTTCCTCGGCTCGCATGCGGCACCGGCTGACACAAATGATGGCCTCTCTTGAAACTGTATTTATGAAATGTACATTTTAATTTAAATACTCAGTATACACTGCACGTAATCTGCATGTTGCATTTATTAAATACATTAAAATCTGCAATGTAACAAAACGTTTCCTGCATACGAAATTCAAAACACCATTTTAAATGAACAAAAGATGGCTCACTTCACCGCCACCACCCGAGCGCAGCGCACGCGGCTCTTCTCTCTTTCTTTGACGCTGTTCACAGACTGATACACGTTACGATAAGAGTGCTGGATAAAAACATGAGGTACGAAAGTGGTTCGAAGATTATAGGTCATGCAGATCATGCTAGACAGCAAAGAAAGGTGTGAATGAGGAAACACTAAATAAAAATACATAAAGAATGTGCATTATAAAATAAAAAAAAACAACTCAATTACACAGCTTTGCTTCTTTGGTTACAAAGGAGGTTGAACAATTTCACAGCTTTTTATTCCCACCCAAAAAAAAAAAAAAAAATTATACGAAATGTCAAAAAGCGGAGGAATCGTGGCAATTTCTCTCTATCAGAAAGTAGAAACAGAAATGAGCAAAGTTTTCTTCATCAAAATAGCCCATCCATTATTTATTATATCACAAGGACTGGTGACTACCTGTACAGATGCACTATGCTCTTCATACTTACACTCTATACAAAATTTACATTCCAGCTGGATCTTCACTACCGTAAATAAATACCCAAGGTGAATTGCCATTAGTGTTAGAGATATGCCAGGATCCTTTTGTTCAATTATTGCCCACACATTTTACCTATTAACGCAATCCCATCTATCGTTTTACCGATACACACATTTATCAAAAAATTAAAAAAAGTTCTGTGACATTGTTCATGAACATTATGAAAATAGCAGCCCTGTAATAAATAAAACAACATAAATGAAACTAATGTAGGCAAATGTTACTTATATGGAAAGGACAGTGGCTCTCGGGGAATCGATGCTTCTCACGACAGCGACGGAGCCCCGCGGAGCTGCCGCACCTCCACAGCAGCCCGGCCGCGCAGAGCAGCTCCGCCATCAGCTCCCTGCGCCCGACGGCAGAACGGAGCCCAGCGGCGCTCTGCCCCGCGTCAGGCAGGGAAAGCTCCTGTGGGATGATTGTCTAATACTGAGAAGGCCAAACACGCGACAGAAGCATGGCTACTCGCTTTCATATAAAGTGGAAAGAACATCAGTGGCACACGAGGACAGACTGCTCTCAGGTTTTCTGCTTTGAAACGAGGCAGGAAAGCTTTACGCTGAGGAGACATTCGGCTGCTGCGGAGGCTGTGCTGGCTGTGCAGGCTGCGCTGTCACCGCCTGCGCCTGCAAAGTGCTACTGGGGTTGGCCTGTTGGGCTGAAAGTTGGGATAACTGATCGTTGTTTGAAAGAGACTTCAACAGTGCGTTCTCTCGTTCAAGTAAAGAGTTCCTTTCAACTAATTCTTTTATTTGTTCCTTCAGAACTTCCACTTCTTCTCTTACTGCGTACATCAAATGGCTTTTCACCAAATCCTGCAGAAAACAAATCAACAGTTACACCGCCTGGAAGAGCACCTCCGTCCCACTCTGAGCCCACAATTCTTCCACTCAGCGAGCAGTAAGGCTGGAGAGCTGAAGCACTTCTCCCTGAAAACACAGAAAACCTCGAGCCCCAAGGACGATTAACCCAGCTCCCCAGTTCAGCATGAAGCCGCCCTTACACCAAGATCCTTCTGGCACTCAGCAGTAAGCTGTGGCACACAGCAACTCCACACCTACGGTCACTGCAACCCAATCCTCCTCCAGGCACAGAGAGCGCCCAAAGCGTGCGAGCAGCACCAGCAGATGCTGAACTTCGGAAAGGCTTTTTTGTTACATTACACACATTTACCATCCAAACTAAAAGACAGCAGTGACCTTCAGGCACTGTGCTTTCTGAGGGCCTCATACATCAGCTGTATTAAAGGCTCGCACCGATCCCCCTGCGCTGAGCACACAGCTGGGCGGCACTACAGCATGCTCAGGACATCACTGCTGCACCGTGGGCCCTCTGCAGCCTACGGAGGTGACAAAGCCCACAGCTGGAGCCGGCCAGCCTGAAGGACAGCATCAGTTCTGAGCAGATGAGGTGGGAGCCTGGTGCCACACAATGCCAACCACTGAGGTGTATGAGAACCAAGCAATAATAATAAATGAAATCAAACTGGATATAACTGACACTGAATGGAACGCAAAGCATGGCACAGAGAAGTAACAAGATAAACTATTAACGAGCCCCACTAAGAGGTGTGCTATTTTCAGCACCTCCTGAAGTTCAACCAGCTTGTTTGTAGAAATTTACACAAAAATTCATTTTAAATCGCTTTAGGACAAACAATGTAGGTGAGAAGCTCTTAACACGAGAAGTTAAAGCAATCCAGGTTTGTGGTTGTCCCATACTTCATACTGAGAATTTTTTTTTTCCAAGCAAAGCTCTCTGTCTGACCTAACAAGGGACATTATGGACACAGGGAAAGACAGCACAGCTGGGAGCGTGCATTCAGCCGTGAGCTTGGGGCTTTACTTACCATTGCCTGTTCTATTTTGTTGTCAATGGCAACAACACTTGCACCAGACGCACTGTAAATATAAGCAGAAAACTTTGTTAGAGCATTACTGCATTGTTTGTTTCAAACTATGCACCTGTTGGCACCCACAGGATTCCTGAGCATTATTTCCGAGGCCAAAGCTGCAGTGTCACCCATACAGCACAAAGTCGTGTGCCATCCCCCTCCCCACACAGCACAGTTAGAGCTCTAAGACACACTGCACCTTCAGTTTATCATTCCTCAAAAGAGACATACGACACCCACAAGCGGTGGAGCAAACAATAGATTAGCTGCTTTTCATTCCCTGCCTCGTTTTCCAGCTACCTTCACTCGGGAGAGAACAGATTCACGGGGTCCTCACCTCTAGTTTAATCTCTGCTAAATTGTTTTTTAAAAGCACTGAAGAAAAAAGTTTGATAGCATTTGTCCTCTGGATCCATTTAAAGATTACTTCCTATAAGAAATAATCCCATCAGCACTGCCTTTACAGCTCTGCAACTGCTGATAGCAGAGACCTGCCCCGTGCGGGGCTCTGTGAGAGCACTGCCCACACAGGTTTCGGTGAATTCTCAGCAGATGGCACCTAACCATCTGAGCAGCCTCACTGCACAGCCGCAGCGCAGTTACAGAGCAGCTCCATCACTGGGACAGGAGAGCAGTATTCACTGCAGACACGGCGCTGAAGTGACCTTTCAATCCCACATTAGGGCAATTCGAGCCTTCCTGTGTTCAGACTGTTTACAAGCCACCCTACTGAAACACAAAATAACCCCTTTTAACTCCACAGAGTCAGACTTGTGGGGCCAGAGAGGCGCTCCCCGCTCTGCAGACTGAGCTCCCCATTCGGAGCAGAGCTGCAGCCCATCCCAGGGCACGGTGCAGGCATCGGCTCCCCCCAGCAGCATGCTGCCCTCCCAGCCCACCTCCCAGCCGCCCCACTGCAGCCCACAGCCCCACGCCTGGCACAGGGCTGCAGCTGCATGCGATAGCTGCCAACACGCTGCCCACAGAGCGAGCTGCTATCAGCGCGGCGCAGCCACGGCACAAAAAGCTGGCGTGCAGGAAAAGGCAAGGTTTGCAGCCAGGCTGGGAAACTTACCTCTTCACAGATATGTAACACACACTGAAATCACACTGTAAGGAAAACCTGCTTGTTGCTTTCTACAGTGAGTAGCAGCAGCACGCTCAGAAATATTAGTTACACACAGGAAACCAAGCCCAGCTGCTGGAAGAATACACTGCTCTTTGGACAAGTCCATTTAACCCAGGCTCACAGGAACACCAACGCTGATCACTATACAAAGAGGGAATCAGCTTTTGAGACTGAGAAAGTAACAGCCTTCCTTGCTAAACCAACAAAGCCTGCATTCCATAAGTAAAACACCAAGTGTTCAACAAGAGAATTGCTCCATGTGACACAGGCCCAACTTCAACACCCTTACACAAAGGCACGTAGTGTGGGAAACAGGCAGGGACCAATGCGCGGGGCGTTGGGATGGACGGCTCAGGTACTCAGCAGGGCAGGAAAGGAGAGGAGGTGAGGCAGCCCTCTACATCAGGGAAGGTCTGGACCGCATGGAGCTTGATCACAGTGATGAAAGGGTTGAATGCCTCTGGGTAAGAAGCAGCGAAAGGATACCATGGTAGGAGTTTGTTATGGACAATCCAACCAGGGCAAAGAAGCAGACAAATATTCTATAAGCAGCTAGCAGACAATCAATACGGCAGAAGGAGGGAACTCAACACTAGAAAAGGTCAGGCAGCACATCATCCTGAGTGCCATCACACCACACACACACAGGACAAGCAGGTGATCAGAGCCTGTCAGTGTGGATTTGTGAAAGGCAAGTCCTACCTGACTAGCTCCATCTCCTTCTGTGACAACGTGACCCCATTCGTGGATGAGGAAAGGCTGCTGAAGTTGTTTTCTTGGACTTCAGCACAGCACTGATATTATTTCCCACAGAACTTCTCCAAGAGAAACTGCCTTGTGGACAGACTCCTGTTCACCAGGTAGAAACCCGGCTCTGCATGGCTGGGCCCAGGTCGCTGTGGATGGAGTTAAAGCCAGGCAGCAGTACAGCTGGGGGCACTGCAGCTAGGGGTGCTGCCTGAACACAAAGCCAGCAGCAGGCCTGTGTGGCCAGGAACATCCAGGTCTGTGCCAGAAATACTACGGCCAGCAGGACCATGCCTGTTCTCAGCCCTGGTGGGACCACATCTCAAATACTCAAATACTCAAACACCCAGTTTGGGGGTCCCTCACTGCAAGAAGGATGCTGGGCTGCTGAAGCACATACAGAGAAGAGCAGCACAGCTGTGAGGGAACTGGAAAACACAGCTCATGGGCAGAGGCAGAGTTTGGGTTGGAGGTGGCTTCAGCGCCCCCCATGCTCACTACAGAAGGCTGTACCCATGTGGGCACCTACCTCTTTCCTCAGTGACAAGCTGCAGGGTGCGAGGGAATGGCCTCAAGATCCACCAGGGCAGTTCTGGTTGGATGTGGGTAGGATTCTTCCTAGGATGTGGTCAGACACTGGGACGGGCTGCCCAGGGCATCCCTGGGGGGCTGAACTCCCTGCCCAGGGGTACATCAGGTGCCAGCCTTCTGCTGCAGCTCTACTGAAGCCACACTGTCGTTGGCTATCAAACAAGTACCTGTTTCCCCAGGACAAGCAAACTTTCTACAGTTTTACATGAAGCTCTGAAGATCAATTATTCAATACAACATAAGAACCGATCTCAGAGGCAACGCACAAGTTTTTATGAAATATCTGAACTCTTTAGGGGAAAAACAAGACCTGGGTCAGTTGAATCGGTTTGAGGTTTGGACAGGCATGTGCACTGTGGCTCCTTTGTAATCCTGGTAAGATCAAGCTATGCTAACAAAATAAACCATTTTTCCCCCTGCTTATGAAGGTACTCACATTGCCCACGTCTACCACGAGAAGCAAACATCAGAGAGAAACGTGGTCCTGATATTTTTGTTATTTTTAAAAATTTCAGATAAAGACTTAACTTCAAATCAGGAAAGCTCCACCTGAAAGCAATCACCAATAAGGCTGCAATCAAAGCACGAGATGTTACACGGGCCTTCCTCAAAGAGGAGCACCTCATCTGACAGACAGCTGCAGCATGGGGAAGAGAAGTTCAGCACAGCCTGCCATGGGGGAGACCTCATCCAACTCATTGCTTTCCCATGAGAAGGATGTTTAGCAGCAACATGCAAAGTACACATCTCTGACTGCTCACATGATGAGAAAAATCCACATCCTGTCAACTTACACTGTGAAAGTTTAATCTTTCATACAAATACGCAGTGGAAGCGTAATCATACTGCCTGGAATTCAAGTTTACCAAAAATAATGGCAATGTTTTCAAAACCCACCTGAAGATCCTACGCTACCAGTGCTGCCCTGAGAAAATTCACAGAGGAGTCATCATCCAGATTCATGAGAAAATGCCAAAAAAGCCTCTATTCCTCTTCTCAACCTTCTCTGTACTGGCACCAGATGGGCACTGCACCGAGCTCTGAGCAACACCACGCCAGAATTAAGCAGGGAAGGCACCTGCACACTTTTCATGAGCATCTCAATAACGAGTATTTCACTGACGTTCAATGGCTGAATGCCCTCAGCTCCTTCCCTGCCACAGCGTGTCAATGAAAAATACCCATCCCTGTTTCACTTGATATTTAGCAATATTTTAGTGCTATTCTGACAGCGTGTGGTTAGCTTTGCTGGGCTCAAACAGCCCCAATAGATGGCTGCTCACACGAGGAGAGCCTCTGTGCAGAGCAGAACAACTTACTGTTACACGGGGAGATCATCCCCTACCGAACTCCCGAGGTTCACAAACTAGTTTTGAAGGAGCTGCAGAATGCAATTAAGAAGCCTGCTGGGGCTTATGTTGTGCAGCATGGGAGCCCCTACATTTTAGAACAGGGAAACAGGCATCCCGAGGAATTCAAAAGAATGCTTACTTCTATTAGGAAATGCTCAACTGCAAGGATAGGAGGATGATACCTCCACAAGAAAGCACTTACATCGCCGTACCTCCTTTTTGTCAACACTTCTATATTCCACATGTCCAGTACTTGTTTTGGACATTATACACTAACCTAGGATTTGTGAAGCCTGCATCTTAATTGCAAACAATTTTTGTTGGCTTTGTTGCTTTTTTGTTTTTCAATCTGCTTCCACATCTTAAGAATTAATGGTTTCAAATAAAGAGACACCAAAACAGAGAAACAAGTGAAGGATAAACCTCTAAGCGTATTTTTGGCTGCAGTGCCAAATCTTTACGCAAGTCCCTGCCGTTTGTTTCACTGCTATAAAGGCTGCCCTGAACCCAGCGCCAACACAGCCCCACACACCTCGTGCTTAACACACAGCACTGCTCTTCACAGCTCCACCCAACAAGGACACGTGCTTTTCAAACCCTGCCCAATGCCAGAACTTCAACGCAGCCCAGCAGGATGCATTAGTACCACGCTCAGCCAGAGCCGCACCGTACACAAACTACTGCCAAGCAAACTTGGAAGGATTCGGTTAAGTTCTGGTGAGGTGAGGAGCCTTCTCAAGTCCAGCACAGCTCTTACAATGATGACATCGTTATCAATGCTCATAACTGAACAAAGTCCACACTTCACAAAGCTTGCTAAGCAGAAGCGTTGTGACAGAGCATCACAAGGCATGGAGTCACAATCGCTAGGACTTAACACTGACAAAAAAATAAACCTTAAAAATCATTTAAGTGTGGGGAAGAAGCAGCTTGCAGCTACTGATGAATTAGTAATGCATCTCTGACAAGCCACGTCTACAGCAAATATGCCTTTGTTGCACCTCATTGCAGTTTCTCGCCATGAGTTCAATGCCAACACAGCAGCTTTAATTCCTCCTCGCCTCTTGTGATGGGTCACGTTTGTCACCCACCCAGCTGAAGCACAATACGTGCAAGCCACAAAGCTTCCTTCCCTTGCCCCGAGCCCAAAAGATTTCAGCTTCATCAAAATTGTGTTTAAATACACCATTTTCACACCTTGTTTTCTGAGATAGAACTTAAGAGCCACAGCGACAGTTTCCTTTCTCTGGGGAAAAGGAAGCTGCAAACATTTTAGCGAATGCCAGCTAACAGCTGATAGCATGAAACTCTTTCAGTTACACATATTATGTTTGATGCATGCATAATGGAAGGAGGAAAAAAAGTCAGAGTATTTCAGACTTGTTCATTTCAAGCTTACATACAAATATTTCACTTCCATGACTGCTTTCAGACTTCTAAGCTGCAGAAGTCCGATACGAAGCTCTGAAAACAAGCAACACTTCTGCACAAATGAAATGACGAGAAACTTGCATAGAGCAAAGCTGTTCATGCATACCTCAGCATGTATGCATCCCATACTGAAGCATTCATACCTATCCCAGAAGGTCTTTGACTCACGTAACTTGTTGAAATGGAACGCTTGGTAGAATGCAGTTGACGGATTCCTATGAGATCCAAGAATCAAACAGAGATATTGAAAATGGACACGTAATAAAAATGCCAACTCTTACTCTACCTGCATGAAAGGAAGTTAGCTATTCAGACAAATAACACTGATGTCCAAAAGTTAGAAGAGCTCAGTGCCTGAAATCCATCTTGTTCCTATGGGTTTCTATTAGAGACACACTGATTAAAAAAAATCATCCCCAAGCCCTATGGGTATTCACACTATTTCAAGTTGCTCCTGTAAAGCAAGGTCTGTACTATAAAAGCTATTACTGAACCCCTCCTAGCATGCTGACAGCCTCCTGCAGGCAACATGTGTAATAGTGCTACATATTCCTAAATTCAAGGGTACCTTGCACATTTTCCATTGTATTTCACAGAATTCTCTGCAAACAGCACCCACTGTTTCTATTCCACTTCACAGCTCTCTCCATATTAGAAACACAAGAGTTCTCAAACTGGGCCTCTGAATCACAGCATATGTCACATCCAAACTACAGAAGATTAAGTTACTTACAATTGCACAACAGATCAAGTTCAAAGTGGAAGAGTAGTGCTCAGGTAGTGCTATGTCTGTAAGCACTTCCCCATGCCTCGCAGCCTGCCCACTGCTCCCCAGCACAGTGGGGCACTGCCAGCCCTCACAGCACCGACAGCAACTGCTCTGAGAACCAAGCACTGCAGTGCAGACTCTGCCACTCAATTCTTCTGACAGCCCGACCCTCCTCGCTCACAAATATTTCCCCCAAAGGCAGCAACAGTACCAGCAGTGCTATCTGAATACTACAGTTATCCGAGGACTCATCTGCAGGCTTGTTGCTTACAGGATATGAAATGAAGCACAAAGTCAGAATCCTTCACTGCTAGCAGCTGTGTCAGAGCATTACACTTAAAAACTCCTCTTCCAGCACTGCAGTTTATCCTCACACTGATATAGCTACAGCACAACTGCAGAACACGACTCAGCAATCTGTAGAAATGTTACCAATAGTTCATGCTTTTTTATCACGGGTTTTAAAACAGAAGCTTACACCAACATTAGAAGCACAGGGACACAACGAGAGCCCTTCTTAAATAACTTGGAAAGAGCTGTTTTAAGCCTTTCCGTTTAAGAACATCAAAGCAGCAGCACCATAACAGAACTTTGTCTGAAGCTATTTCCCAGCAACCTTCCAAGGTCAATAACGCCCCGTATCAGCAATGATCAAGAATCACTTGTTCGCAGGGTTTGTCACCCCATCTCCTCCCTTCACTCCTCCACACACATATGAATTCAGCCTGAAGGCTGCTACAGAAGCGGCCTGGTCAAGCTGACAAATACCATGCTCTCCAGTCAGAGATTCTTAGGTTTTCAGAAGACACATGAAGTGTGACCGTCAGCTAATGACAGGAGAGCAAATGCAGTAACAAAAGATAAAGGGCATCTGAGTGATACACAGCATGAGAAAGCAATTGGCACCTGCAAATAATACAGCCTTCCTCTGCTTACAGGGAAGGTGGGGCTCAAGCTCTTCTAATTCACTCGCCTGAGATGTGAAAATTCTCTTCCTCAGAGAGCAGCTGTAAACAGAAAGTCATTTATCTTCCAAGATACATTTACTTGCAGTATACAAAACCCCGTTGCTATTGCTAGGTATGAGAAGTTGTGGCTTCCAACCATGGGCCTGTCTTCCATCCAAGCTATTTTTACACCGATACCCAACGCACAGCGTCCTTCCACTGTACTAAGAAAGTATCCAGAGAGGTACGAAGGTTTCCTGTTAAGCTCTCAATCGCACATCTTGCTGTTGAAATTTTTTGGTATTGCCCAGATAATTAAGAGAACTGTTTCCACTTTATAGCTAGATCTTCAAGTAAACTCACAGCGGTGACATGCAGGCCTGAGCTGACATGGCTGAGTTTCACCTATTTTTAACCACACTAAAAGTAAAGCATTAGAGAATTGCTAAAAACTCTTCAGTTTGATGAATTAGCTGAGCAAACTGCATACAGAAGTAGTGTCATCTACAGCCACATAACAGCCGAAGTGTCAGAAGCCGTTCTGACACCCCGCATCTGGCCCAGGGCACAGAGGCAGACCCAGAGCACACGCAGCTGTGGGCGCTTCCCAGCAGAGCCTGAGGGCCGCACCGAGGGAGCAGGGAGCACAGCAGCGCACCTCCAGCTCTTCCTGCAGCCCTGCAGAGGACAGCAGGTTGCTGAGGGCACACGGTCCCAGTCCCAGAGACTGCTGCCAGCAACCAGCATAGGAAGATTAAACATGCAAACTGTATCCTTTGTAAAAACATCTCAGCTTCTCCCTGAAGTCCTACCAGAGACACCACATTGGTTTCCTTTGCACTCTCCACTGTTACTGTTTCTAACCAGTTCTAAGGTGATAAAGGTGACCTAAAATTAAAGGACAACAGTTTTATCAGTTGACTACTCGCAGCAGCAAACTTCCCTTTAAAGGGAAGTCTAAACCATACCCAAACTCTGCCCTCACGTTTGGGAGCACATCCTCCTATTGCCGGTAATCAGGACATACGCTGAATTCTCCATAGAACTCTGCCTGGAAAGCTGGCAGAACTTGAAGCACCCAGACAGATGCCTTCCACTGAAATAAGGGCACTGAGGCACAGCCCCCACTGACACAAGGCCTTTCTGCTGCTGCACCTTTGGAGGAAGGCCGAGAGCATCAGAGCTCCCATGCAGCCCAAGGGACGTTTAGGTGACCAGCCAAGGGCAGCAGCTGAGAGCCACAGCCAGAGGAGCTCCTGAGCAGTACCACATCTCCTTCGAGGCGGCAAAGTACAGAGCTCCCACTGCGCCACTTCAGACAGTTCTTCTCCATGTCACTGACTGTAACATGAACAGGGATGATGGAGAAGACAAAAAAGGCCAAGGTACCACCTCTGAGCATGAAGAACACACGGCTAACAGGTCAGACAACCACGTTCAATACCTCTGACAAAAAACAAAGCAAAGTAGGATCATCCATTATTGAGCAAAGCAGCATGGGGCACCTTTTCAGAAATTTATGTCAAACAAAATCCTTATGAGGAGAAAAAGAAAAAAAAACAGGCCTCATATAGACAGAACACAAGATATAAGCATAGTGTTACAAAATTAGCAGAGCTTTTAACGCCACCTTGCATGACTTTTCCATAATTAAGATGGTGGTTTACACAAAGAAGGAGGTCCAACTGATCAACTACTCCATACACGTGGCTCTCCAGTGGATCAGCGGGAGGGAAGGATGCATTCAACAGAGCTCTCCAGGGCCTCCAAGTCTGTTTTGGGATACTTTAATCCACAACTCAGACAGCGGAGCACAGACTATCTTTATAATTGCAGATGATCTGCAAGCACTCAGGACAGAAGGAACAGAATTCAGGAAGGTCTGACCCGATTGGAGCAACAGTCTGAAATAAGAAGGATGCAATTCAATAAGGATAAGCATGAAGTAACAACAATCAGCTGCACAAGTACAAACCAAACCACGGAATGAGAAGCTGAACGCAATTCCACAGAAGAGAATCTAAGTCAAAAAAATAAAAATCTTGCATAAGTATTAAACTTGCAGTACTTCTGTCCTACATGGAGGTATACACATGCTAGCTGAAATCCTGTTTCATTTGGCCCTCCTGAGTCCTTACCTTAGATTTCATGGACAGTTTCAGATACAAACTGCATGCAAAGGAGACAAGCCTACCAAAGCTCAGGTAAGACCACAAGAAGATGCGTTACGTTCTTTTACTTCCATTAGTCAGAATTGTGAGACATGTAAATGCTGAAGATGGATGGAGGACAACTACAGTCTCAACGTAGTTTAAAGTAGCAGACACGAGAAATTTTTCTCCTTGTCAGGTAAGTATAATCAGAGTACAGACGATATGGGTTTTAACTCCAGAAAAAGTTTAAAACTAAAGATCAGATTTGATTTCCAAATAAACAGTAAAGAACAAAGACAACCTCTTACAAGCATGGTAGAACTGCCCACTGATTCTGGAAGAGATCAAGCAGCATTTGCTCCAAAAGGTTTCTGGCCCTTGAGCCCCCAGATCAGCCCGCACACCCATCCTGCAGTTTCTTGAGTCACACAATATCACTGGTATGAGCTTTAAAGTTCCTCCTTTGAATTAGATCAACTCCTGTAGGAACCAAATTTAACTATGGAATAGAATAGAAAGCAGTAAAGAGCTTAGTTTATATCTGAAATCAAGATGCCTTCCAGTTCCATTGTTTTGGTAAGTTTTTTTGGTGTTAAGCAAAGGGTAAGCATCCTAAAGCAAAGTTCTTAGTTGCACACAGAGTTCAGACAGCAGCATTAAGCTTAAGAACAGAACGTATTAGTAAAACATCCTTTACTCTTGTGCTCCTACTCTTAGAAGCAAGGCCATTAATCATACAGTGATGCTCTTGCATCAGAAGGATGGAAAATTCAGCAAGCTTCTAGCCTCTTTATCCTTTGCACAAAAGTTTATAGGAGCCTGCCAACATGCCTCTAAATACAGGTGTTTAGCCATTTATCAAAGCACAGAGAAGATGCTAGCGTATTTTGTACATCAACATTGTTTACACAGCAGCAAAAACTACTTTGAGAAAAAAAGCAACTCAGAGAGCTCAAAGATCAAGTCAGCAAGTAAGCACATTCAGTCCCTATGCAATGGCAGTTAGTAAGGTAGTATTTAACAGCCAAGAGACATTACCTTGACTTTGCTTAAGAAAACAACCATCTTACATGAATGTGACTTTCCTGTGGCCATCAGTAAGGAATTCATGTCACAAGGTAAATTAAGGTATAGCCACCAGTTGCCCAAGCTGGTGCATGCTGCTGGACAGTAAGCGATTGCCTCCTTGGTTTCTAAAGGTTACACAGATGAGATACAGTGGTGCCCAGCAGCATTTGGAACACAAGTTGGTTTATAGCCCTGACCACCAGAAGGCTGCCTTTAACTCAGCTACAACTTGTGATACAGACTGATCATCGCTGCTCTTCAGATGAGAGCACGCAGGG